GCTGTCTGAGCCTGTCCTGATAACGCGCTGTCATTACATTAGATATAAACCCAGCGCTGTCTGAGCCTGTCCTGATAACGTGCTGTCATTACATTAGATATAAACCCAGCGCTGTCTGAGCCTGTCCTGATAGCGTGCTGTCATTACATTAGATATAAGCCCAGCGCTGTCTGAGCCTGTCCTGATAGCGTGCTGTCATTACATTAGATATAAACCCAGCGCTGTCTGAGCCTGCCCTGATAACGTGCAGTCATTACATTAGATATAAACCCAGCGCTGTCTGAGCCTGTCCTGATAACGTGCTGTCATTACATTACATTAGATATAAACCCAGCTCTGTCTGAGCCTGTCCTGATAACGTGCGGTCATAACATTAGATATAAACCCAGCGCTGTCTGAGCCTGTCCTGATAACGTGCTGTCATTACATTAGATATAAACCCAGCGCTGTCTGAGCCTGTCCTGATAGCGTGCGGTCAGATCCCCTACATTAGATATAAACCCAGCGCTGTCTGAGCCTGTCCTGATAGCGTGCGGTCAGATCCCCTACATTAGATATAAACCCAGCGCTGTCTGAGCCTGTCCTGATAACGTGCAGTCAGATCCCCTACATTAGATATAAACCCAGCGCTGTCTGAGCCTGTCCTGATAGCGTGCGGTCATTACATTAGATATAAACCCAGCACTGTTTGAGCCTGTCCTGATAACGTGCGGTCATTACATTAGATATAAACCCAGCGCTGTTTGAGCCTGTCCTGATAACGTGCGGTCATTACATTAGATATAAACCCAGCGCTGTCTGAGCCTGTCCTGATAACGTGCGGTCATTACATTAGATATAAACCCAGCGCTGTCTGAGCCTGTCCTGATAACGTGCGGTCATTACATTAGATATAAACCCAGCGCTGTCTGAGCCTGTCCTGATAACGTGCGGTCATTACATTAGATATAAACCCAGCGCTGTCTGAGCCTGTCCTGATAACATGCTGTCATTACATTAGATATAAACCCAGCGCTGTACAGGCCTGCCACGATGGCGTGCAGTGATTACGTGGAGATATAAACCCGAAGCTGTGCAGGCCTGTCCTGATAACGTGCAGTCATTACGTTAGATATAAACCCGGCGCTGTCTGAGCCTGTCCTGATAACGTGCAGTCATTACATTAGATATAAACCAAGCGCTGTCTGAGCCTGTCCTGATAGCGTGCAGACATTACATTAGATATAAACCCAGCGCTGTCTGAGCCTGTCCTGATAATGTGCAGTCATTACATTAGATATACACCCGGCGCTGTCTGAGCCTGTCCTGATAACGTGCAGTCATTACATTAGATATAAACCCGGCGCTGTCTGAGCCTGTCCTGATAGCGTGCAGACATTACATTAGATATAAACCCGGCGCTGTCTGAGCCTGTCCTGATAACGTGCAGTCATTACATTAGATATAAACCCAGCGCTGTCTGAGCCTGTCCTGATAGCGTGCAGACATTACATTAGATATAAACCCAGCGCTGTCTGAGCCTGTCCTGATAACGTGCAGTCATTACATTAGATATAAACCCAGCGCTGTCTGAGCCTGCCCTGATAACGTGCAGTGATTACATTAGATATAAACCCAGCGCTGTCTGAGCCTGTCCTGATAACGTGCTGTCATTACATTAGATATAAACCCAGCGCTGTCTGAGCCTGTCCTGATAACGTGCAGTCATTACATTAGATATAATTCCAGCGCTGTCTGAGCCTGTCCTGATAACGTGCTGTCATTACATTAGATATAATCCCAGCGCTGTCTGAGCCTGTCCTGATAACGTGCTGTCATTACATTAGATATAAACCCAGCGCTGTCTGAGCCTGCCCTGATAACGTGCTGTCATTACATTAGATATAAACCCAGCGCTGTCTGAGCCTGTCCTGATAACGTGCTGTCATTACATTAGATATAAACCCAGCGCTGTCTGAGCCTGTCCTGATATTGATTTTTGCTATGATTAGTAAATGTTGTAATTCTCTGTTTAAGAACGCGCCCTCCATTAACCTCTGTTTACAAATGAAGATTGAAATGTGACACCTTGTCTTGTTCTTATTATTCACAGCCTCCCTGCCCCCCTCCCCTCCCCAGCCACTGCTGCCGTAATGCCCACCTCAACCTCTCCGAGTTTCTGCTGTTCCACTTACAAGTTATTATCTCCGAGGGCTCCCTGACACAATGTCCGTGCAGATACTTCCTGATCAAAGTCAGCAACTCCTCCTTCAGTGTCAGAGCAATGAGCCGCCTTCCCTGTATCCATACACTGTGTACGGACTGCCTTCCCTGTATCCATACACTGTGTACGGACTGGCTTCCCTGTATCCATACACTGTGTGCGGACTGCCTTCCCTGTATCCATACACTGTGGACGGACTGCCTTTCCTGTATCCATACACTGTGTACGGACCACCTTCCCTGTATCCATACACTGTGTACGGACTGCCTTCCCTGTATCCATACACTGTGTACGGACTGGCTTCCCTGTATCCATACACTGTGTACGGACTGCCTTCCCTGTATCCATACACTGTGTACAGACCACCTTCCCTGTATCCATACACTGTGTACGGACTGCCTTCCCTGTATCCATACACTGTGTGCGGACTGCCTTCCCTGTATACATACACTGTGTGCGGACTGCCTTCCCTGTATCCATACACTGTGTACGGACTGCCTTCCCTGTATCCATACACTGTGTACGGACTGCCTTCCCTGTATCCATACACTGTGTACGGACTGCCTTCCCTGTATCCATACACTGTGTACGGACCGCCTTCCCTGTATCCATACACTGTGTACGGACTGCCTTCCCTGTATCCATACACTGTGTACGGACCGCCTTCCCTGTATCCATACACTGTGTGCGGACTGCCTTCCCTGTATCAATACATGTGTACAGACTCCTTTCGACTGTTTCACTCACATTATATAGAAGGATCTGCAATACAAAATTCCAAATCTCAGCGAGGAGAGATACAGCTCTCCAGTCCATGTTATCTCCTAGTAACCGACCACGAATAACGGGAACATGGTTAACCTGCAAGGGCACATTCAGGTGTGGTCAAAAAAGATGCAATTATTGCATTTTAACTAATAAAAGCCCACATTTCGTATCTTCTGTTATGAACATCAAATATGAAATCAGAGACTTTGTTAATCGTTCTGCAGAGGGAGTCATTTATCTTATTACTTGCAAACAAAACAAAAACTGAAAGTCAGGATAGCGGAGCATGTCCAAGGTATTAAATCAGATACAATGAAGCAAACGACACTTTAGATTCTGCATGGAGGCTGACCTGTCCATGTTCTCATTTCAGGGAATCCAGAAATGCAGACTTGGTCCGAGAGGAGGCAACCTAGAAAAGTGTCTGCTTAAAAATGATATCATTTGGATCCCTAGTCTGCAGGGTTTAAATGTGGAGTGGGATACCAACAGCACCTTTAGACACTAAGTGATAGAGAGTCTTATGATTACTGTGTCTCTGCTCGAAAATACCTCTGCACAGTTATTCCACCTTTCATTAAATAGTAGGGATCCATTTAAATGAAGGTTCATTTATCACATGATGATAATTTATATTCAATGTGTTAATCTAACAAGTTAATGCATTTTCTGTATGGTTACTCTTTGGGTTTTATCTATGTGAGACAATACCATGTGTAGCGGATGGTATTACGGCTGTCCTAAAAGACTGTATTAAAAATCCAATTCATGTGTTTATTTTCCTGTATAGCTAAAAGTGTATGTAGTATTCGTATGATTGTTCGGTAGTTTTCATCCGTATTCCATACAAATTGTGACGAAGTGCCCTTCGCCACTTGGTCCTGGAGAGGCCTGCTTGCCAGCCTCCTCCCCTGTGACTATGACTCTTTCATGTATTTGGCTTTAAAGCCCCTAGTCTACCTTCAGACAGACTATTTATGTGGGCTGCTTTATTTATCTTATGTTTTAGTCACCCTGTACCCATTATAGGTGCAGGGTGTGTGTAATGTAATTCTTTATAGTGTGTGTGTGGGTGTACTGTGAAATGTATTGCCTGCTCTCCTGTACTGCTGAGTGTGAAGAAATATCCCTCTTATGCTGTAAATTGACACTTTGTATTCGTTTTGTTTGATAGTAATGTTCCCTATGGCATTCGGTAGGTAAAACTACCGAATCCAGACCACCCTGTTGCCCATTATACAGACTTTACCTCCTTGCTGGCTGGATTACGTTCGACAGAAGTTCTGCACGAACGGCATGTCTCGCCACCATTTCGGGACTTCCACGTGTTCGCGGCCATTTTAGCTCCCGAACAGCGGTGTTTGCCGTCGAGTGTCTGGAACTGAAAATGGACACTCAAATAGGCGAACACCGCTGAAGCCTCCAGACGTTCGGTAAACCCCCTTCCAAACTACCGAACGACCGGGCGTTCGGTAGAAAGACTTACTAACGGATGGGGAATCAAGCGAACCAAGGATGGTAGCTGGATGGCCGGCCGTTCGGGAGGTTTTTCATGCGATCTAAGACCGACTGCAGGGCCAGAATTCATGGAACTGTTTTCGGCTACTTTGCCCGTGCAGTCAGTCAAAACTTCTAAGTCCCATATCTCCCGAACGGCTGAACCGAATGGACTGAGTTTTTTTATATGTTGGTCCCCCAGAGAACAGTTATCTTGGGGTACATCCAAACTTTGGGGAATTTCTGTTACGTTTTAATTGTGTTTAATGGTTATCTGAGGGGAGGAGATGTACAGTATGTATATTGTTAGGATTGGACGTATGGCTAATTATATGGGAGGCTCCCTTGCATGGGCAGAATTCCATAAAAAGAGAATACCTGTCAATAAATCCTTAGTTCATCTTTGTACCCTTATTCTGACTACGTATGCTGTTTGGGAGTTCGTGTGTTTTACTGTGGGAATTATCCAGGGACACTATTGGAATTACATTGGGATTCGTCTACCATAACTACCAAACGGAGGACTATATTCACTAGGCTCTGGCGGTTCGGGAGGAAACTACCGATTCAGGTTTAAATGCACTTGGTTTCCTTACACTGAGGTTTGCTACCAACTAGGTGGGTTTGGCTATGGAGCTTGTCTAGTGCCCTCTGTTGTTTAGCAACAGCAATATGCACTACCTGAATTGCAAGACTGGTTCATTTGCATATTCGGGTTGATTTGCATATTGCTAATTCCGCAGGCAGGTGAGATATTTACTGTTAAATATTGTTTCCCCCACCCCTATAAAAATGTGCCATTGTGTTGTGATAAGTCACTGTGTGTTGCCTGCTATGGTTTGACTGTTTGTGATTTTATTGAGGTTTCACAACAATGTTATTGTGGTGACCCTATGGGCTGGTCCCAAGGAAAATAAAGGTTTAGACAGTTCTTCTTGATCCCTCTAAACGTAGCCTTGGCTCGTTATTGGAGGGAGCTGTTATAATCACACTGGGGATTGCTATGCTCTGCATACTCCCTTGAGCTTGAATCACTTAGCTCTTTTAAGAGCTTGTTCGTGACACACTCTCCTTGGAGGAGAGGTCTTCACCACACAGTCCTGGATGCTGGAGGTTCATACAGGGTGGAAGGAAGAGTTCTTTCCCACACAGTCCTGGAGGACAGAAGCTGATCCAGGGTGGAAGGAAGACGGAGAGCTACAGCGGTTGCGGAGTCTGTGGTGGTTGTGGTGTCTGCTGCAGCGCTTGGAGTCCTCAGGAAGCGCTAGGAGCATCCTTCAACGGAGGTACCCAGTCGGGGTGCCAGGTGATCCGTTACACAAATGAAAACTACCGAACCAGTAGACCACCCCAGAGAGAAGTGTGCACCCTATTAGGCATTCACACTTCTCTAACCGCAGGTTAATTGGTACGATCGGTACTTTGTGCATGTATCTGGGTGGCCGCCGTTCAGCCATCTTACGCACGAAAACCTCAGCGGTGTTTGGTCGTCGAGTGTCTGGAACTCAAATCGGACACACAATTACCCGAACACCGCTGAGACCTCCAGAGCTCCGTAACTCCCGAACGGAAGGGCTAATCAGCCCCTCTTTCGGTGAGTTAAAAGTACCGAACAAGGGTATTCATGCGAATACAGTTTTAATAGTGGATGTCATTGTAACGGACCGTTTTGCACAAAAGGGGTAAAAACCGTTTAGGCGATCGGCCCCCTTTCCAGAGATACAGGCACAGCTACTGCAGAACACCAAACTCCCGAACTGGATACAAAATAGCACTCCAACTCCTGAACTGGAACCTCCCAAATAGCTGCTAGCAGACGAACAGGAAAAGCAGACAATCAGCTTACACTCCTGGCAATCAGTCTCTAACAGCATACAGTAAATCCCCCCAAGAACGAGACAATGCTCCGTGTTGAGGGTCAAGCAGTGGTCTGTTTAATGAGGGCTACCTCATTAAATGGGAGACTGTGACAAGGGACAGACAAGTAGACAAATAGGACACACAGTCACAGTATATTCCCACAATGCATCCTGGCTTCCTCCCCTCTGCCCTGAGAGATAATTGAGAAGTAACTCAATTGTCTCCCAAGACAAAGGCAAAACTCCATTACACATGTGGGGACACAAAACCAGTATTATACTTTAAAATACATAAAGTAACATTTACTACATAAAACACAGACATGTAACATATCCCCAGATAGCTCAGGTCTGAGTGCACATTAGACCACACGAATACAGTTTAATTGCCATGGAGCCAAAGTCTTTAATTACACGAATAGGCTCCATGGCATATCTATCTGGGTTAAAACATTTCCCCCAACACAAAATACTGAATCTACATACATTCGTTAAATTGGTACGAATCAGAACCAGGGGCTGGAGGCTCAGTGGTGCTTAGCTGACACAGTGTCCAGATTTGGCGTAGGAAAGCCGGGCAGAAAAGCGCTGGCTGCCCGGGGAGCTCCAGAACATCGCCATCGTGTGGTGGCTAGGTGTAACCGCGACCACCCAGTAACAGTCAATTAAGCTGCGGTTAACCGCAGCTACTGGGTGGTCAATTGCCGGCACACGCTCGTTCAGGGAGGTAAATGGAGGGCACACGCCAGCTTCTGGGTGGCCAATTAACGGCGCCGGCTGACTTCCCATGGCTCTGGGGAGGCTGATAGAAGTCTGTTTGTTCGGTAGATAGAATCTACCGAACGGCTGTGCAGAAAGGAAGGAATAAATCTTTCTGCACAGTAAAATTAACCGTTTAACTGCCGGTCCATAATCCAAAGGCAGCAGGCGGGCAACCAGGCTCCTCCAATGCAATGTGGCGAGATTGGTCTCGTCACAGTCATGTATTTCTGTGTATTTTACCTCCCGAACGGAGAACGACCGCAGGGCCAAAACACATGGAACCCTTTTCGGCTACCGCCTCGTGTGTGGTCGGTCAAATTGTCTCTTCCACCTAACTCCCGAACCCCTGGTCTGATCTGGGTGAATTTTGGATATGTTGGTCAACCAGATCAGGGCTACCAGGGGGTGCCACTTAGCTCATTGTACCTAACTGTTTTGGGGTACATCCAGAATTCGGGGAAAACTACAGTACGTTTAATGGGATTATGTGTCACACTGAGGGGAGGAGATGTGTGGGAGGTAACTGTTACATTATTGGTTACTGTCCTGATTAATGTGAATCCCTCCCTTGCATTGGAGAATGCTTTATAAGGAGACTGTGTGGATTAAAAGTCAGTTCTGCTCCTGATGCTGTGTGTCGTCCAGTCATTGGGATCTGTATGGGGATATTCGTGGATTACCTTGCTTGCTGTGATTATTATTCTATGGTATTTTATTGCTCGTTCGTGAGCCTCACTGGGATCTTTAGTGGAGTTAACCTGTGAAAGACCAGCTCTCCGCTACACCATGTATATACAATAGTATATAACGAATTCTCTGTTACAATCAATGTGGTTTGCTTCAACCCATTCACATATGTTTGGTACCAATGGCCCCCTTTAAGAAGAGAATAGTATAAGATTAATTGCCTCAAATGATTTTCCTTTTGATCTTATTTCATTTATATTTTTTCTCTTCCCTTTCTTTCTCAATTTTTCTATTTTTCTTTGTCTGTGTGTCTCTCATTATCAATTTTATTATCTTTTGGAAGTAATTTTCTCTTTCTGTGCGTTATCACATTACTCCATTAAATATAGTGAGAGTTTGTTGCATCCACACCTAAGGGAATCTCCCATGCCCTTAGAATGAAATTCCGGTTATTACGGCAAGTTTACTACATCGCATTGAGAATGTACTTTAGGTGATCATCCCCTTTTTTGGGGGATTTTGTGGGAGGATATTAGGAGTTTCTCCAGCCGTATCATTCAGCCATTTTAAGGGTGCATTCTGTGCAAGTCGCAATTATACAAAGGTGTGGGCTCTTATCAATTTAAAAAGCCTCATTCTGGATAGTTACCTCCTATATATGTTCCAGAATTTTCTTTGTAAGCACATGTTGAGAAAGCACCAAGGAAGGTGCGAAACGCGTCCAGGGCTTTCACACATTTTCATAGAAACATAGAAACATAGAATGTGACGGCAGATAAGAACCATGCGGCCCATCTAGTCTGCCCAATTTTCTAAATACTTTCATTAGTCCCTGGCCTTATCTTATAGTTAGGATAGCCTTATGCCTATCCCACGCATGCTTAAACTCCTTTACTGTGTTAACCTCTACCACTTCACCTGGAAGGCTATTCCATGCATCCACTACCCTCTCAGTAAAGTAATACTTCCTGATATTATTTTTAAACCTTTGTCCCTCAATCTTAGATTTGAAAGGTGAGATCAGAAGCACCAGGAAATATATATATATAATCAAGTTGCATGCCATCATCTTCTCTGAGGAGCACTTGAAGGGTTTTGCTATAAATGATTTGTGCTGACTAAATTAAACACAATTCGAAGCAAAGAAATAGCAAAGAAAGTGCAGATGCTTGGGCTCGTCCGGGTTTTGAACTCGGGACCTCTCGCACCCTAAACGAGAATCATACCCCTAGACCAACGAGCCATTATGACGTTAGTCTTCTGGGTGGTCTCTCCCCTGTCTGGCAATTGAAGGTAGTATGGTGTTCCATCAAATTTCCCTACCCGTGGAAATCCCCTACCCTCGTCACTTCCGGTGAGGGGAATCAGCTGGATCCTGTGCTGCACATGCTGCTAGCACTCCTGCTACTCCTCCACAGCCAGGTCCTGGAAGGTAAGTAAAACTAGTTTTACACTTTCATTATAGTTAGTGCATTCACTAAGCTTAGGACATGGGACATTTAGGGTTAATGTTAGGGTTCAAATTAGGGTTAAGATTAGGGACTTGTTTTTATTTAGTGATATTCCACATTAGGGGAATATGTATAAATTGTGTATAAATTGTATTGTAACCCTTACCCCAAGGGTTAGGGTAAGAATAGAGTGTGAGAGAGGTTAAAATAACTTACCTAACCCTAATTTGAACCCTCACTTAACCCTAAATGTCCCGTGTGCCTAAGCTTAGTCAATGCACTAACAATAATGAATGTAAAACTAGCTTTACTTACCTTCCAGGACCTGGCTGTGTTACTGTGTTAATTACCTTCCATGACCTTGCTGTGTTACTTACCTTCCAGGACCTGGCTGTGTTACTGTGTTACTTACCTTCCAGGACCTGGCTGTGTTACTGTGTTACTTACCTTCCAGGACCAGGCTGTGTTACTGTGTTACTTACCTTCCAGGACCTGGCTGTGTTACTTACCTTCCAGGACCTGGCTGTGTTACTGTGTTACTTACCTTCCAGGACCTGGCTCTGTTACTTACCTTCCTGGACCTGGCAGTGTTACTTACCTTCCAGGGCCTGGCTGTGTTACTTACCTTCCAGGACCTGGCTGTGTTACTTACCTTCCAGGGCCTGGCTGTGTTACTGTGTTACTTACCTTCCAGGACCTGACTGTGTTACTGTGTTACTTACCTTCCAGGACCTGGCTGTGTTAGTTACCTTCCAGGACCTGGCTGTGTCGCTGTGTTACTTACCTTCCAGGACCTGGCTGTGTTACTTACCTTCCAGGGCCTGGCTGTGTTACTGTGTTACTTACCTTCCAGGACCTGGCTGTGTTACTCTGCGTCTGTGTTACCAGAACAAATTCAATAAGCTGTAGTTGTTCTGGTGACTATAGTGTCCCTTTAAGGATGTGGTGAAATCCATATAACTATAAATAAGTGTACATAACTTAAAACAAACAACATAATAATTCATCAAATATATAATATAATCACGACTTTCTAATCCATGGAAAAAAAGAGATATACAGATGTAACCGGTTAGTAGTTTGCAATTTCCTAATTTATACAAATCGATGAATTTTTAAGTTTCACCAACAGAGGGTGCTGGAGAGTCATCTCACTTTCCTATGGGGAAGGCCAGGTACTCACTGCACATGCGCAATTGGCTGAAGTTGGAGGAGCCCGACCCAGCACCAATAGATATTGGCACTGGAATCCGGTTAATGTTTAATCCCTTAAGGACTCAGCTTCAGAAGCTTGTCTTACGCTTAATGACACAAGCCATTTTTGCATTTTTTGCTGTTTGTATTCAAACGCAATTTGCATCTCTGTCATTTATTGCACCAACACATATTATACATCTGTAGCGGAGATGCAATATTACCCAGGTTATCTCCGCTTATAATCCAAGTGGTACTCAGGAACAAGTAAAGAGTAAATCCACAGGCAAGGCTTCCAGCAGGTAAAATACAGCAATATCCCAACAGCAATCCCAATAACTGGACGACACACAGTTTCAGGAGCATAACTGACATAGCCGAATAAGGTTCCATGCGAATGGGCCCTGCGGTCGGTCCTGGCATAAGGGAACAAAATACACGAAAGCCTCTAGCTATAGAGGCTAGGGAGGGTTCGCCTGAATCCCCTCGTTCGGTATTTTCTATCTACCGAGCGAGGGGCCGTTCGGTAGTTTGGAACCGAACGGACCAGGGCTGTGGAGGTCTCAGCGGTGTTCGCCTACTCGAGTGTCCGATTTTAGTTCCAGACACTCGACGGCAAAACACCGCTGTTCGGGAGTTTTAAAATGGCCGCCGCCACGTGTTCGTTTGTCAAATGGCGGCCACCCCGAGAACAAAGGACGGCTACTTACTAGTCAATTACCCGTTCACAACAATGTTGCAATGGGTAATTGAGGACACACTTCACACAGGGGAGGTCTGGTTGTTCGGTAGTTTCATTCGAATAAACTAAGGGAATGAAACTACCGAACAACCAGAGGAATACAATTCTTTTTAATACATAGAAAATACAGCAGATACACGAATGCAGGTTTATACAGTATATTTGTAGGGTCGCCTGGTGCCATCCGCTACACTGCTCCCCCTTGCCCACAAGCCGGCATACACAGTCTGATCCAACACGGATCGGCTTGGGGATGTCCGGGGAGGCTCACGGATCATTTATCTAGGTCAGTTTGTCGAGACAACCCATCAGCATTTCCATTCTGTTTACCCGGGCGGTACTGGATATTAAAGTCAAAGGGCTGCAGCGCCAGACTCCAGCGCAGCAGCCGGGCATTGTCCCCAGCCACCCGGTTAAGCCATACTAACGGGTTGTGATCCGTGAGCAGGGAAAAAGCTTGTCCGTACAAATATGGTTGTAATTTCTTCAGGGCCCACACCACAGCCAGGCATTCTTTCTCGATGGCGGCGTAGCTTACTTCTCGAGGTAACAGTTTCCGGCTGATGTAAGCCACGGGATGTTCTCCGCCATCGGCCCCGACTTGGCTCAATACTGCTCCCAATCCAAACATAGAAGCGTCTGTGTGGACAAGAAAGCGTTTAGTTGGATTGGCAGCTGCCAAGACAGGGGCATTTGTCAATGCATCTTTCAACAACTGAAATGCCTGTTCACACTCCGGGGTCCAGGTTACTTGGCGGGGTAGGTTTTTACGGGTCAAGTCGGTGAGAGGTTTGGCCAGGGCACTGTAATTCGGGACAAATTTCCGGTAGTATCCGGCCGTTCCTAAGAACGCTAACACCTGGGTCTTAGTCCTAGGGGTAGGCCATTGAGCTACAGCCTCTACTTTGGCTGGTTCCGGCTTTTGCTTGCCGCATCCTACCCGATGACCTAGGTACTGTACTTCAGCCATGCCTATGCTGCATTTGGCTGGTTTCAGTGTTAAACCAGCGGCCCTAATCCTGTCTAGGACCGCTCCTATATGGGTCAGGTGTTCCTGCCAGGTATTGCTGAAGATGGCAATATCGTCGAGGTATGCGCAGGTATAATCCTGGAACCCATCTAGGAGGCGGTCCACCATCCGCTGAAAAGTAGCCGGGGCGTTTTTCATCCCAAACAGCATGACCTTAAATTGGTACAAGCCGAATGGGGTGACAAAGGCCGACTTAGGGATGGCGTCTTGTGCCAAGGGTATTTGCCAATACCCTTTACACAAGTCAATGGTGGTGAGATAGTGCCCCCTCGCCATCCGATCCAGGAGTTCGTCTATCCTGGGCATGGGGTAGGCGTCAGATACCGTCTTCTCATTTAATCTCCGGTAGTCTACACAAAACCGGGTCGTGCCGTCCCGCTTTGGTACTAGTACTACCGGAGATGCCCAGGGGCTGTCGGAGGGCTCAATCACCCCCAGCTGGAGCATCTCATCTATCTCCTTGCGCATGTTCGCCCGTACCGCTTCTGGGATGCGGTACGGGGTCTGACGCATGGGAAGTTGCCCTGGGGTGTCTACTGGGTGAGTGGCCAGAGGAGTGTAACCAGGTACATTAGAGAAGATATCCTGCTTCTCCCTCAACAGCTGTTGTACCTCGCTCCGCTCCTGTGGGCTCAACCGATCCCCCAGGGTGACTTCCCCTAAGTCCCCGGATAACTGACCCTCTCCCAGCAGATCCGGGAGAGGTAAACTGTCAAACTCCTCGGAGTTCAGCGCACATATAGCGGTCACTTCCTCCGAGCGCTCCTGGTAGGGCTTCATCATGTTCACATGGAGCATGCGTCGCCCCCCAGTACCAACGCACGAGCCGATTATATAAGTGGTGTCACACCGTTGTTCCACCACCTTATAAGGGCCCTGCCAGGCAGCCTGCAGCTTATCGTGTCGGACAGGTTTTAAGATCAACACCTTCTGCCCGACCTGAAAGCTACGGTCCCTGGCGCCCCGATCATACCATGTGCGCTGGCGTGTCTGAGCCGCCTGCAAATTCTCGCGTACCGTCTGAGTTAAGGCCTCAAGGCGGTCTCGGAATGCCAACACGTATGGTATGATGTGGGTACCGTCAGTGCTCCGTTCTCCCTCCCAATGCTCTCTTATCAAATCTAAAGGCCCTCGTACCCTGCGGCCAAACAATAGTTCAAATGGGGAAAACCCAGTGGATTCCTGCGGCACCTCCCTATAAGCAAAGAGGAGGTGGGGCAGGAACTTCTCCCAGTCCTTGTGGGTCTCTGCGAAGGTTCGGCGCATTTGTTTCAATGTACCGTTGAAACGTTCGCAGAGCCCATTCGTCTGGGGGTGGTAAGGGGAACTAATGACCGGCTTAATGTCACAAAACCTCCAGAGGCGCTGCGTGACTTCGGCGGTGAACTGGGTGCCCTGATCGGAGACAATCTCCCTGGGGAGTCCCACCCGGGAGAATATCTTCATCAGGGCTTCTGCTACTGTCTCCGCCTGTATATTCGTCAGGGCCACCGCCTCTGGATATCTAGTGGCATAATCTACTACTGTCTGGATAAATCTTTTACCTGACGGGCTCGCTTTGTTGAGGGGTCCTATTAGGTCAACTGCTACCCTGCTAAAGGGTTCCTCGATTATGGGGAGGGGATATAACTTGGCCTTGCGCCGGTCCCCCCTTTTCCCCACCCTTTGACAGGTATCGCACGTGTTGCAATACCTGCGCACCTCCTGGCTAATTCCTGGCCAAAAGAAACTTTGGGTTAACCTGTATCGGGTCCTGCTGACCCCTAAATGTCCAGATAGCGGAATGTCATGGGCTATCCGTAGTAACTCCGCCCGGTACCGCTGAGGTACCACTAACTGCCTCATCACAATCGGGTCTGACCCGGATACCTGCTTATCCGTCTCCCGATATAACAGCTGTTTGTCCCAAATAAACCTTTCGCCCTCCCCCCCAGGCGTGTCTGCTGTCACCTTGTCCCTATACACCTGCAAGGTGGGGTCAGTCGCTACCTCAGCTGCAAATTCGTTAGGAGGGGCCCAGGGAACACAGTCAAGGGAAGGGGAAGGATCTCTTACCTGGACCTCCGGGAGTGTGTTGTAGTCCTGGGTGCGGGCCTGTTGCCGAGTGACCACAGGGTGAGCTTCTCCTGTGGTGGGTGTCTGGGGCTCAAAAGCAGATGTGAGCCTCCCCAGATCGTTCCCCCAATAAAACCTCCGCCGGTAACTGCGGCATCAACCCACCTCCACATGCCCTGCCCCCGCTCCCCAATGCAAATGTACCCTTGCTGTAGGTAGCCGGTATACTGCTCCCCCGGCTACCCTGACGGCCACAGTCTTACTAAGTTTAGCTTGGTCTGAGACCAGGTGACTTTTTACCAAGGTGATGGTGGTTCCTGTGTCACGTAGCCCCTGAACTGATTTACCCTCCAGATACACGGTCTGCCTGTGATGCTGGCGGTTGTCAGCATTAGCCTGAACGGGATCTGCCTCGTGCAGTACCTCCCACTGCTCTACCGTTGTGATGGGAACTGTTGAACCATACGGTGTGGCCACGATATCCTGGTAGTGATGGGCTGCGGCGGCTCTCGGTGGTGGTGGTGGACCGGGTCGGATCCAGGTGGAACGGTC